TGATATGATGGTGATGGTTTTGGTGATATGATGATGATGATCGTGGTGTTATGATGGTGATGGTTTTGGTGATATGATGGTGATGGTTTTGGTGTTATGATGGTGATGGTTTTGGTGATAAGATGATGATGATGATGGTGGTCATGGTGATATGATGGTGATGGTTTTGGTGATATGATGATGATGGCCGTGGTGTTATGATGGTGATGGTTTTGGTGATATGATGATGATGATGGTCGTGGTGATATGAGGGTGATGATGATGATGGTCGTGGTGATATGATGATGATGGTGGTCATAGTGATATGATGGTGATGGTTTTGGTGATATGATGATGATGATGGTCGTGGTGTTATGATGGTGATGGTTTTGATGATGATGATGGTCGTGGTGATATGATGGTGATGGTTTTTGTGATATGATGATGATGATGATTGTGGTGTTATGATGGTGAAGGTTTTGGTGATATGATGATGGTGGTCATGGTGATATGATGGTGATGGTTTTGGTGATATGATGATGATGGTCGTGGTGTTATGATGGTGATGGTTTTGATATGATGATGATGATGATGGTCGTGGTGATATGATGGTGATGGTTTTGGTGATATGATGATGATGATGATGGTCATGGTGTTATGATGGTGATGGTTTTGATGATGATGATGGTCGTGGTGTTATGATGGTGATGGTTTTTGTGATACGATGGTGATGGTCGTGGTGTTATGATGGTGATGGTTTTGGTGATATGATGATTGTGGTGATATGATGGTGGTGATGATGATTGTGGTGATGATGGTCATGGTGATATGATGGTGATGGTTTTGGTGATATGTTGATGATGATGGTCGTGGTGTTATGATGGTGATGGTTTTGGTGATATTATGATGATGATTGTGGTGTTGTGATGGTTTTGGTGATATGATGATGATGATGATGGTGGTGGTGTTATGATGGTGATGGTTTTGGTGATATGATGATGATGATGGTCGTGGTGATGTGATGGTGATGATGATGATGGTCGTGGTGATGTGATGGTGATGATGATGATGGTCGTGGTGATGTGATGATGATGGTGATGATGATGGTCGTGGTGATGTGATGATGGTGATGATGATGGTCGTGGTGATATGATGGTCATGGTGCAGGCAAGCTGATGGCGATGCCCTCCGAGTACCTGATGATTGTGGTGTTGTGATGGTGATGGTTTTGGTGGTATGATGATGATGATGGTCGTGGTGATGTGATGGTGATGGTCGTGGTGGTATGATGATGATGGTCGTGGTGTTGTGATGGTGATGGTGCAGGCAAGCTGATGGCGATGCCCTCCGAGTACCTGATGATTGTTGTCTTGTGATGGTGATGGTTTTGGTGGTATGATGATGATGATGATAGTCGTGGTGTTATGATGGTGATGATGATGGTGGTATGATGATGATGGTCGTGGTGTTGTGATGGTGATGATGATGGTCGTGGTGTTGTGATGGTGATGGTGCAGGCAAGCTGATGGCGATGCCCTCTGAGTACCTGATGATTGTGGTGTTGTGATGGTGATGATGATGGTCGTAGTGGTATGATGATGATGATGGTCGTGGTGATGTGATGGTGATGGTGCAGGCAAGCTGATGGCGATGCCCTCCGAGTACCTGATGATTGTGGTGTTGTGATGGTGATGATGATGGTCGTGGTGTTGTGATGGTGATGGTGCAGGCAAGCTGATGGCGATGCCCTCCGAGTACCTGATGATTGTGGTGTTGGTATGGTGATGGTTTTGGTGGTATGGTGATGGTCGTGGTGTTGTGATGGTGATGATGATGGTCGTGGTGTTGTGATGATGGTGATGATGATGGTCGTGGTGTTGTGATGGTGATGGTGCAGGCAAGCTGATGGCGATGCCCTCCGAGTACCTGATGATTGTGGTGTTGGTATGGTGATGGTTTTGGTGGTATGGTGATGGTCGTGGTGTTGTGGTGGTGATGATGATGGTCGTGGTGTTGTGATGGTGATGATGATGGTCGTGGTGTTGTGATGGTGATGCTGCAGGCAAGCTGATGGCGATGCCCTCCGAGTACCTGATGATTGTGGTGTTGGTATGGTGATGGTTTTGGTGGTATGGTGATGGTCGTGGTGTTGTGATGGTGATGATGATGGTCGTGGTGTTGTGATGATGGTGATGATGATGGTCGTGGTGTTGTGATGGTGATGGTGCAGGCAAGCTGATGGCGATGCCCTCCGAGTACCTGATGATTGTGGTGTTGGTATGGTGATGGTTTTGGTGGTATGGTGATGGTCGTGGTGTTGTGATGGTGATGATGATGGTCGTGGTGTTGTGATGGTGATGGTGCAGGCAAGCTGATGGCGATGCCCTCTGAGTACCTGATGATTGTGGTGTTGTGATGGTGATGGTTTTGGTGGTATGATGATGATGATGGTCGTGGTGTTGTGATGGTGATGGTGCAGGCAAGCTGATGGCGATGCCCTCCGAGTACCTGATGATTGTGGTGTTGTGATGGTGATGGTTTTGGTGGTATGATGATGATGATGGTCGTGGTGTTGTGATGGTGATGGTGCAGGCAAGCTGATGGCGATGCCCTCCGAGTACCTGATGATTGTGGTGTTGTGATGGTGATGATGATGGTCGTGGTGTTGTGATGGTGATGGTGCAGGCAAGCTGATGGCGATGCCCTCCGAGTACCTGATGGTTGTGGTGTTGTGATGGTGATGATGATGGTCGTGGTGTTGTGATGGTGATGGTGGTATGATGATGATGGTCGTGGTGTTGTGATGGTGATGGTGCAGGCAAGCTGATGGCGATGCCCTCCGAGTACCTGATGATTGTGGTGTTGTGATGGTGATGATGATGGTCGTGGTGTTGTGATGGTGATGGTGGTATGATGATGATGGTCGTGGTGTTGTGATGGTGATGGTGCAGGCAAGCTGATGGCGATGCCCTCCGAGTACCTGATGATTGTGGTGTTGTGATGGTTTTGGTGGTATGATGATGATGGTCGTGGTGTTGTGATGGTGATGGTGCAGGCAAGCTGATGGCGATGCCCTCCGAGTACCTGATGATTGTGGTGTTGTGATGGTGATGGTTTTGGTGGTATGATGATGATGATGGTCGTGGTGTTGTGATGGTGATGGTGCAGGCAAGCTGATGGCGATGCCCTCCGAGTACCTGATGATTGTGGTGTTGTGATGGTGATGATGATGGTCGTGGTGTTGTGATGGTGATGGTGCAGGCAAGCTGATGGCGATGCCCTCCGAGTACCTGATGATTGTGGTGTTGTGATGGTGATGGTGCAGGCAAGCTGATGGCGATGCCCTCCGAGTACCTGATGATTGTGGTGTTGTGATGGTGATGATGATGGTCGTGGTGTTGTGATGGTGATGGTGCAGGCAAGCTGATGGCGATGCCCTCCGAGTACCTGATGATTGTGGTGTTGTGATGGTGATGATGATGGTCGTGGTGTTGTGATGGTGATGGTGCAGGCAAGCTGATGGCGATGCCCTCCGAGTACCTGATGATTGTGGTGTTGTGATGGTGATGATGATGGTCGTGGTGTTGTGATGGTGATGGTGCAGGCAAGCTGATGGCGATGCCCTCCGAGTACCTGATGATTGTGGTGTTGTGATGGTGCAGGCAAGCTGATGGCGATGCCCTCCGAGTACCTGATGATTGTGGTGTTGTGATGGTGATGGTGCAGGCAAGCTGATGGCGATGCCCTCTGAGTACCTGATGATTGTGGTGTTGTGATGGTGATGATGATGGTCGTGGTGTTGTGATGGTGATGGTGCAGGCAAGCTGATGGCGATGCCCTCTGAGTACCTGATGATTGTGGTGTTGTGATGTTGATGATGATGGTCGTGGTGTTGTGATGGTGATGGTGCAGGCAAGCTGATGGCGATGCCCTCTGAGTACCTGATGATTGTGGTGTTGTGATGTTGATGATGATGGTCGTGGTGTTGTGATGGTGATGGTGCAGGCAAGCTGATGGCGATGCCCTCTGAGTACCTGATGATTGTGGTGTTGTGATGATGATGATGGTTGTGGTGATGGTGCAGGCAAGCTGATGGCGATGCCCTCTGAGTACCTGATGATTGTGGTGTTGTGATGATGATGATGATGGTTGTGGTGATGGTGCAGGCAAGCTGATGGCGATGCCCTCTGAGTACCTGATGATTGTGGTGTTGTGATGGTGATGGTGCAGGCAAGCTGATGGCGATGCCCTCTGAGTACCTGATGATTGTGGTGTTGTGATGGTGATGGTGCAGGCAAGCTGATGGCGATGCCCTCTGAGTACCTGATGATTGTGGTGTTGTGATGGTGATGGTGCAGGCAAGCTGATGGCGATGCCCTCTGAGTACCTGATGATTGTGGTGTTGTGATGGTGATGATGATGGTCGTGGTGTTGTGATGGTGATGGTGCAGGCAAGCTGATGGCGATGCCCTCTGAGTACCTGATGATTGTGGTGTTGTGATGGTGATGGTGCAGGCAAGCTGATGGCGATGCCCTCTGAGTACCTGATGATTGTGGTGTTGTGATGGTGATGGTGCAGGCAAGCTGATGGCGATGCCCTCTGAGTACCTGATGATTGTGGTGTTGTGATGGTGATGGTGCAGGCAAGCTGATGGCGATGCCCTCTGAGTACCTGATGATTGTGGTGTTGTGATGGTGATGATGATGGTCGTGGTGTTGTGATGGTGATGGTGCAGGCAAGCTGATGGCGATGCCCTCTGAGTACCTGATGATTGTGGTGTTGTGATGTTGATGGTGCAGGCAAGCTGATGGCGATGCCCTCTGAGTACCTGATGATTGTGGTGTTGTGATGGTGATGGTGCAGGCAAGCTGATGGCGATGCCCTCTGAGTACCTGATGATTGTGGTGTTGTGATGGTGATGATGATGGTCGTGGTGTTGTGATGGTGATGGTGCAGGCAAGCTGATGGCGATGCCCTCTGAGTACCTGATGATTGTGGTGTTGTGATGTTGATGGTGCAGGCAAGCTGATGGCGATGCCCTCTGAGTACCTGCCACTGCTGCTCAAGGCCGTGCTGCACTCCTGCCGGGTGAAGCCCGAGTGAGGAACCTCCACCGCCACCCTCGCCGCCACCCTCGCCACCACCCTCGCCACCACCCTCGCCACCACCACCCTCGCCACCACCACCCTCGCCACCACCCTCGCCACCACCCTCGCCACCACCCTCACCACCACCACCACCCTCGCCACCACCACCACCACCACCCTCGCCACCAACACCACTCGCCACCAACACTACCACCCTCGCAACCAACACCACCACCCTCGCCACCACCATCACCCTCGCCACCACCCTCGCCACCCTCGCCACCACCCTCGCCACTCACTCCCCACTACTCACTCCCCACTACTCACTCCCCACTACTCACTCCCCACTACTCACTCCCCACTACTCACTCCCCACTACTCACTCCCCACTACTCACTCCCCACTACTCACTCCCCACTACTCACTCCCCACTACTCACTCCCCACTACTCACTCCCCACTACTCACTCCCCACTACTCACTCCCCACTACTCACTCCCCACTACTCACTCCCCACTACTCACTCCCCCTACCCACGGGGTTCTCCTCGCTGCTGCTTCTGCTGCTTCCGTGGCGCTGTCTGTGGTGGTTGTTAGTTGTGGTGGTGGTTGTTAGTTGTGGTGGTGGTGGTTGTTAGTTGTGGTGGTGGTGGTTGTTACTCGTGGTGGTGGTGGTTGTTACTAGTGGTGGTGGTGGTTGTTACTCGTGGTGGTTGTTACTAGTGGTGGTGGTGGCGGCCATGTTTCGTGAATCATACTAGCCAGCAGCCTAATGTGTGGTGTGTGGGTATTGTGGTAGTGGTTGGCGGTGGGTGGTAGTTGTGGTGGTAGTTGTTACTCGTGGTGGTGGTGGTGGTGATTGTTACTGGTGGTGGTGGCGGTGGTGATTGTTGAGAATCTTGCCATGCCATTTGCGTCTCTCTCTCTCGGCGTTGTGAGCGAGTCGACGCATCTCAGGGAGTCTACGGAACGGATAATGTCCCTCTCTTGTCTACCTCAGGGAAACCCGTGTGGGTACTGTGTGTGTGTGTACTGTGTGTAGTGTGTGTGTGTGTGTAGTGTGTGTGTGTGGGTAGTGTGTGTGTGTGGGTAGTGTGTGTGTGTGGGTACTGTGTGTGTGTGTACTGTGTGTAGTGTGTGTAGTGTGTGTAGTGTGTGTGTGTGTGGGTACGGTGTGTGTGTAGTGTGTGGGTACTGTGTGTGTGTGTGTAGTGTGTGTGTGGGTACGGTGTGTGTGTGTGTGTGGGTAGTGTGTGTGTGTACTGTGTGTGTGTGTGTACTGTGTGTGTGTGTGTACTGTGTGTGTGTGGGTAGTGTGTGTGTGTGGGTACTGTGTGTGTGTGTGTAGTGTGTGTGTAGTGTGTGTGGGTACCAGTGTGTGTGTAGTGTGTGTGTAGTGTGTGTGGGTACCAGTGTGTGTGTAGTGTGTGTGGGTACGGTGTGTGTGTAGTGTGTGTGTGTAGTGTGTGTGGGTACGGTGTGTGTGTGTGTAGTGTGTGTGGGTACTGTGTGTGTGTGTGTGTGGGTACGGTGTGTGTGTGGGTATGGTGGGTACGGGTACTGTGTGTGTGTGTGTGGGTATTGGTGGGGTGTGTGCATCAAGGGATAGGTGTGAGTGTATTAGTGGGTGGATGAGGTGTGTGTGTGCGTGTGGGTACGGTGTGTGTGTGTGGGTAGTGTGTGTGTGGGTACCGGTGTGTGTGTGTGGGTACGGTGTGTGTGTGGGTACGGGTACGGGTACTGTGTGTGGGTACGGTGTGTACGGTGTGTGTGTGGGTACGGTGTGTGTGTGGGTACGGTGTGTGTGTGGGTACGGTGTGTGTGTGTGTGTGTGGGTACCGGTGTGTGTGTGTGTGTGTGGGTACGGTGTGTGTGTGTGGGTATGGTGGGTACGGTGTGTGTGTGTGGGTATGGTGGGTACGGGTACTGTGTGTGGGTACGGGTACTGTGTGTGTGTGTACGGGTACGGTGTGTGTGTGGGTACTGTGTGTGTGTGTGGGTACGGGTACGGTGTGGGTATTGGTGGGGTGTGTGCATCAAGGGATAGGTGTGAGTGTATTAGTGGGTGGATGAGGTGCGTGTGTGTGCGTGTGGGTACGGTGTGTGTGTGTGGGTACCGGTGTGTGTGTGTGGGTACGGTGTGTGTGTGTGGGTATTGGTGGGGTGTGTGCATCAAGGGATAGGTGTGAGTGTGTTAGTGGGTGGATGAGGTGCATGTGTGTGCGTGTGTGCGTGTGTGTTCAGCGGAGGTTCGTGCGATTCAAACTCGGTTAGACCGTGGAAACTTGAAAATATGGGTGGAGCAGTCTCCACCCTCCCATCGATATACCTCAACGTACCTCCAACGTACCTTTTATCTCTACCTCAACGTACCTCCAGCGTACCTTTTATCTCTACCTCAACGTACCTCCAGCGTACCTTTTATATCTACCTCGACGTACCTCCAGCGTACCTTTATGTACCTCAGCGTACTTTTATATACCTCAATGTACCTAAACGTATCTCGACAGACCGCCAGCGTTGCCGGACGTTCGACTGATGACGGTGATGACCGGCCATGTGTACAACTGCGTTGTCTGTGTGTGTGTGTCCGTGTGTGTGTGTCCGTGTGTGTGTGTGTACAACTGCGTTGTCTGTGTGTGTGTCCGTGTGTGTGTGTACAACTGCGTTGTCTGTGTGTGTGTCCGTGTGTGTGTACAACTGCGTTGTCTGTCTGTGTGTGTGTCCGTGTGTGTGTACAACTGCGTTGTGTGTGTGTGTCCGTCTGTGTGTACAACTGCGTTGTGTATGTATGTGTGTGTGTCCGTGTGTGTGTACAACTGCGTTGTGTGTGTATGTGTCCGTCTGTGTGTACAACTGCGTTGTCTGTCTGTGTGTGTGTCCGTCTGTGTACAACTGCGTTGTGTGTGTCCGTGTGCGTGTACAACTGCGTTGTGTGTGTGTCCGTGTGCGTGTACAACTGCGTTGTCTATGTGTGTGTGTACGACTGCGTTGTCCGTGTGTTGAGGAGTTCCCGACAACGACGACGACTCTTGAGACGGCTTGAAGGTTTAAGGGGTTTTCGCCATAAGTGTTTTTTAATTAAAGACATTACGAACCAACACGAGGGGGTTTACAACTCACAGGGGGTTTAGGGGGTCGGTGATGTTACACTGACTGTGGTGGTGATGTTACACTGACTGTGGTGGTGATGTTACACTGACTGTGGTGGCCATATTACGTTGACTGTGGTGGTGATGTTACACTGACTGTGGGGGGTGGTGATGTTACACTGACTGTGGTGGTGATGTTACACTGACTGTGGTGGTGATGTTACACTGACTGTGGTGGTGGTGATGTTACACCGACTGTGGTGGTGGTGATGTCACACTGACTGTGGTGGTGGTGATGTTACACCGACTGTGGTGGTGATGTTACACTGACTGTGGTGGTGATGTTACACTGACTGTGGTGGCCATATTACGTTGACTGTGGTGGTGATGTTACACTGACTGTGGTGGTGGTGATGTTACACTGACTGTGGTGGTGGTGATGTTACACCGACTGTGGTGGTGGTGATGTTACACTGACTGTGGTGGTGATGTTACACTGACTGTGGTGGTGGTGGTGTTGGTGATGTTACACTGACTGCGGTGGTGATGTTACACTGACTGTGGTGGTGGTGTTACACTGACTGTGGTGGTGATGTTACACTGACTGTGGTGGTGATGTTACACTGACTGTGGTGGTGATGTTACACTGACTGTGGTGGTGATGTTACACTGACTGTGGTGGTGGTGTTACACTGACTGCGGTGGTGATGTTACACTGACTGTGGTGGTGGTGTTACACTGACTGCGGTGGTGATGTTACACTGACTGTGGTGGTGATGTTACACTGACTGTGGTGGCCATATTACGTTGACTGTGGTGGTGATGTTACACTGACGGTAGTGGTGATGTTACACTGACTGTGGTGGTGATGTTACATGATGATGATGATGTTCAACTGATGGTGGTGGCGGTGATGACGATGATGATGATGATGGTGGTGGTGATGGCAATGTGACATTGACGACGCTGATGGTGGTGGTGACGATGGCGGCTGTTACACAACGATGACGATGATGGTGGCGGTCGCGGTGGCGATGTGACATTGACGATGACGATGATGATGGTGGCGGTCGCGATGGCGATGTGACATTGACGATGACGGTGATGGTGGCGATGACGACGACGATGATGATGATGATGGCAATGTGACGATGATCGTAGCGGACTGAGGGTCTGGACACGTTTACACATCTCCCCCTGACGATGGTGGCGCGATGACCATGATGATGATGATGATGTTACTGTGATGATGAAGGTGAAGATGTTACTGTGATGATGATGTTGATGATGTTACTGTGATGCCGACGGATGTCGAGCTCGTGTTGACGATGGTCTACCCAGCCCGGACGGTGGCGACGATGTTACCGTGTGGCGGTGTTACCGTGACAACGACGATGCTCACCATGCCGATGGGTTTCCCGCGGCCGCTCGGTCACCGATGCTCATGGTGTTGCCGTGGCGACGGGTGGCGACGGTTGACGTGTTACCGTGCCAACGACAATGTTACCGTGACGACGACCGGTGATTGTATCTCGACGGCGGTAACGGGGGGGGGGGGGGGGCGGGAGGGGGGGTGAACTGGCGATGATTGTAACGAGGTGGTTGCCGCCGGCAACGTTACGGGTTGTAGCTGCGTAGTTTTTTTAAAATTTCTTAAGGCTTTTGTCACCGTTTATCGTCGCGATTTGTGTCTCGATTGTTCCCCCCCGCCCCTTAACGATTGTTGTTTATGTTTGCGACGAAGTGATTGTAACGAGGTGTTTTTGCCGTTGATTGTATTTTTCGCTACCGGTGGGTGGTGGGTGGTGGTGGTGGTGGTGATGATGGGGTTGCCTGCCCTAGGGTCCGGTGTTGAAACGACGAGGGTGGCGTGCGCCTACCCCACCGCCCCCCCCCCCCCACTGCTACGTGCCCCCCACACTCTGGGGTGGTCACTCCTTGTGACCCCCCCACACACCCACCCACTGACCCTACCCCCCCCCCCCCCCACCACCACCACCACCCGCCCACGTAGTCGAGTCGAGCGACGACTGACGGACGACCGACCGCGTGGCTGTGGCCGTTCCGCGCTCCAATCAAAAGTCTCGGCGGCGGCGGTCGGGTAGTGTAGCGGGTAGCGTCGTGGTTTACGTGTGGCGGTGGCCGGGGCGGGGGGGGGGGGCAGGGGGGGGGGCAGGGGGGGGGGGCGCGTGTGAGGCTTAGGGGGGCTAGAGGCGCTGTCGTGAAGGAATTGGACACCGTGGAGCGTGTCGATGATCAAAAACGAAAATAAAAATTGAGCGACTTTCTCAGGAATGGCGGATGGCGTCGCCGCCGCCGCCTTTGCAATCGTAAACGGGAGCGCGTGGCTGTGTAGGCCGTGGTGTAGGTTGTGTAGGTTGTGTAGGTTCTGTAGGTTGTGTAGGTTCTGTAGGTTGTGTAGGTTGTGTAGGTTGTGTAGGTTCTGTAGGTTCTGTAGGTCGTGTAGGTTGTGTAGGTTTGTGGTTGTTGGTGGAGCCTGCCCTGATGCCCTCCCAACTTGGTGGCGACGTAGCCATGGGTGGTGGTCATGGTTGGTGGTTGTGGTTTTTTTTTTTTTAGTGGTGCGTGCCCTGACTCCTGCCTCCCCCCCCCCAACTGGTGGTGGTGGTGGTGATGGCGATGGTGATGATGTTGTTGATGGTGGTGGCGATGGTGTTAGGGCAATGGTGGTGACTTACCGGTGCACGTGAGCAATAGGCCCCCACGTTGCGCTAGGGAGATGTTAACGACCTCGCCTGGTATACATTAGGTCATAGCTTCGATCCTGACCCCGATTCCACGTTGGGCTAGGGAGATGTTAACGACCTCGCCTGGTATACAGGAGGTCGTGGTTTCGATCCTGACCCCGATTCCACGTTGGGCTAGGGAGATGTTAACGACCTCGCCTGGTATACAGGAGGTCGTGGTTTCGATCCTGACCCCGATGCAACGTTGCGCTAGGGAGATGTTAACGACCTCGCCTGGTATACAGGAGGTCGTGGCTTCAATCCTGACCCCGATGCAACGTTGGGCTAGGGAGATGTTAACTACCTCGCGTGGTATACAGGAGCCTCGTGGTTTCGATCCTGACCCCGATGCAACGTTGGGCTAGGGAGATGTTAACTACCTCGCCTGGTATACAGGAGCCTCGTGGTTTCGATCCTGACCCCGATTCCACGTTGGGCTAGGGAGATGTTAACTACCTCGCCTGGTATACAGGAGCCTCGTGGTTTAGATCCTGACCGCGATTCCATGTTGGGCTAGGGAGATGTTAACGACCTCGCCTGGTATACAGGAGGTCGTGGCTTCAATCCTGACCCCGATTCCACGTTGGGCTAGGGAGATGTTAACTACCTTGCCTGGTATACAGGAGCCTCGTGGTTTCGATCCTGACCCCGATGCAACGTTGGGCTAGGGAGATGTTAACTACCTCGCCTGTTAACAGGAGGTCGTGGCTTAGATCCTGACCCCGATTCCACGTTGGGCTAGGGAGATGTTAACGACCTCGCCTGGTATACAGGAGGTCGTGGCTTAGATCCTGACCCCGATTCCACGTTGGGCTAGGGAGATGTTAACTACCTCGCCTGGTATACAGGAGCCTCGTGGTTTAGATCCTGACCCCGATGCCCCGTTCGGCTAGGGAGATGTTAACTACCTCGCCTGGTATACAGGAGCCTCGTGGCTTCGATCCTGACCCCGATGCAACGTTGGGCTAGGGAGATGTTAACTACCTCGCCTGGTATACAGGAGCCTCGTGGCTTAGATCCTGACCCCGATTCCACGTTGGGCTAGGGAGATGTTAACTACCTCGCCTGGTATACAGGAGCCTCGTGGCTTAGATCCTGACCCCGATTCCACGTTGGGCTAGGGAGATGTTAACTACCTCGCCTGGTATACAGGAGCCTCGTGGCTTAGATCCTGACCCCGATTCCACGTTGGGCTAGGGAGATGTTAACTACCTCGCCTGGTTGCACAGGAGGGTCGGTGGCTAGGAGATGGAACCCGCGACCTCCTGTATATACCACCTTGCAATAGATGTCCAGCTCGACTTATCTTAAAAAGCAAAAGGCCTTGGCACGTGGTAGATTACAGGGGGGGGGGGGGTGGGGGGCTCCTCTACCTACGAACTTTCGACTTGACGGACTTGGAGAGAGCTCTACGTCCAGCTGCCTGTTGGGACCCGGCAGTCGTGAGTTCAACTGCCGTGCAATTGATGGTGGTGGTGGCGTCTACATCTGTAGGTCGTGACCAATCAGTGACGTCTACATCTGTAGAACGTGACCAATCGGTGGCGGTGTCTACATCTGTAGGTCGTGACCAATCGGTGATGGTGTCTACATCTGTAGGTCGTGACCAATCGGTGGTAGCGTCTACATCTGTAGAACGTGACCAATCGGTGGGGTCTACATCTGTAGAACGTGACCAATCGGTGGTGGCGTCTACATCTGTAGGTCGTGACCAATCGGTGGTGGCGTCTACATCTGTAGGTCGTGACCAATCGGTGGTGGCGTCTACATCTCTAGAACGACCAATCGGTGGCGGTGTCTACATCTGTAGAACGACCAATCGGTGGGGTCTACATCTGTAGAACGTGACCAATCGGTGGTGGCGTCTACATCTGTAGAACGTGACCAATCGGTGGTGGCGTCTACATCTGTAGAACGTGACCAATCGGTGGGGTCTACATCTGTAGGTCGTGACCAATCGGTGGTGACGGTGTCTACATCTGTAGGTCGTGACCAATCGGTGGCGGCGTCTACATCTGTAGGTCGTGACCAATCGGTGGTGACGTCTACATTTGTAGGTCGTGACCAATCGGTGGCGGCGTCTACATCTGTAGGTCGTGACCAATCGGTAGCGGCGTCTACATCTGTAGATCGTGACCAATCGGTGGTGGTGTCTACATCTGTAGGTCGTGACCAATCGGTGGTGGTGTCTACATCTGTAGAACGTGACCAATCGGTGGTGGCGTCTACATCTGTAGGTCGTGACCAATCGGTGGTGGCGTCTACATCTGTAGGACGACCAATCGGTGGCGGCGTCTACATCTGTAGAACGACCAATCGGTGGCGGCGTCTACATCTGTAGAACGACCAATCGGTGGCGGTGTCTACATCTGTAGAACGTGACCAATCGGTGGCGGTGTCTACATCTGTAGGTCGTGACCAATCGGTGGGGTCTACATCTGTAGGTCGTGACCAATCGGTGGGGTCTACATCTGTAGAACGTGACCAATCAGTGGTGGTGTCTACATCTGTAGGTCGTGACCAATCAGTGACGTCTACATCTGTCGGTCGTGACCAATCGGTGGTGACGTCTACATTTGTAGGTCGTGACCAATCGGTGGCGGCGTCTACATCTGTAGGTCGTGACCAATCGGTGGCGGCGTCTACATCTGTAGGTCGTGACCAATCGGTGGCGACGTCTACATCTGTAGGTCGTGACCAATCGGTGGCGACGTCTACATCTGTAGGTCGTGACCAATCGGTGGTGACGTCTACATCTGTAGGTCGTGACCAATCGGTGGTGACGTCTACATCTGTAGGTCGTGACCAATCGGTGATGGCGTCTACATCTGTAGGTCGTGACCAATCGGTGGCGGCGTCTACATCTGTAGGACGACCAATCGGTGGCGGCGTCTACATCTGTAGGACGACCAATCGGTGGCGGCGTCTACATCTGTAGAACGACCAATCGGTGGCGGCGTCTACATCTGTAGAACGACCAATCGGTGGCGGCGTCTACATCTGTAGAACGACCAATCGGTGGCGGCGTCTACATCTGTAGAACGACCAATCGGTGGCGGCGTCTACATCTGTAGAACGACCAATCGGTGGCGGCGTCTACATCTGTAGAACGACCAATCAGTGGTGGCGGCGTCTCCATCTGCTGGAGATTCTGCAACTCTTTAAAGCCATTCCCCCCCCCACACCGCGTTTAGCGTACAACGCCGTACCCGACTGGTTTTGGACCGACCTTGACGACCACAGACCTCCTGAAACCCAACTCTTTCGAGAATTAGAGGAATCCCTGTAATGAAAATAAACCAAAAACCATCCTTCCTCCCCTCCACCCCCCTATCCTTAGATAGATCCTTTCTCTTTCCCACCTAAACCACCAAATAGCCACGGGAACAAGGGGGCGGCGGGTGGTAGATATGGTTGTTGGTTGTGGCAGGGGGGTGTGGTGTGTGTGTGTGTTTTTTTTAGACCCGGGCAGAACGGTGTTGTGGGTCTGTCTCTCTCTCTGTGTGTGTGCGCGTGAACCAAAATCTGTGCGGGTGGTGCAAATCGTCACGCTCAGCAGAAGAAGAAGATGATGATGATGAATGTACGGGTGGTAGTTTTTATTACCTCACTTTTTTGTTGTTAAATTTTTCAGACCAATTCGTGTTTGATCTCTTGTCCTACCTCACGTCGTAATGACGACAACGGTGAATTAACGTCGCTTTTTTTTTTAGAGAGAGATTGTTAAGCTTTTATTTTTTCTGAGGTCGTGTTTTTTTTAAAAAAATATAAATCGTTTTTCTTTTTAAAGTTTTGGCAAACTTTTGAGTCGTTACAGGTGACGTTGTTGTTGACGTTGTTGTTGGGTTTGCTTTGTTTTAAATCGTCACGTTTTGTTGAAATGGTTTTTGGTTCTGAACGAGTTGGGGGTGGGGGGCGCGGGGTTGTTCGCGAGGCTTAAAATTTGAGGTTTAAACCGCGCGCAAAATTGGCGGCCGTTTTTAATCTCCCTGCGAAAAAAAATATTTTTTCGGTAAACTTTGAAAACTTTTAAAAATCAATTTTCCAGCACGATGTTTTCCTCACGGAACTTTTTAAAAATAAATAAATCTGGACGCCTTATTTTTGTTTTTTTACGTGATGAGGAATCGCAATTTTTTTAAGGGTGGGGGGGGATATTCTGAGGTAATTAATATGGCAGCTATTCGGATTCCGTGAATGTATAATTGTCATCGTAATTACTTGAATTGTCGTTCTTAAAATTGGGCAAAATTCGTTGATCTCATTGCGTTGTGGGGCGAAACGAGGAGGGGGAAAAAACAAATTCGGCGGCCATTTTTTTTGACTGCCTCAAGAAATTTTCCCACCAAAAAAAAACGTGGCGGTCGCCATTTTGTGGAGGGGGGGAGAGGGAGGGGCTCGGGGGCGTGGTAACCCCTCCCACCCTCCCCCCCTCCCCCCATCGGCTCGTGAGGTCAAAGGTCAAGTCGAGGTCTGGTGCGCCCTCCCCCCCCCCATTCTCGCTCCTGCCAAAAATTATCAGAACAAAAACCAATCAAGACTGTGGACACACCTACACACACCTACACACACACACCTGTACACACACACCTACACACACCTACACACCTACACACACCTACACACACACACCTGTACACACACACCTACACACACACACCTACACACACACACACACCTGTACACACACACCTGTACACACACACCTGTACACACACACCTACACACACACACCTACACACACCTGTACACACACCTACACACACACACCTGTACACACACCTGTACACACCTGCACACCTGTACACACACACCTACACACACCCACACACCTGTACACACACCTGTACACACATACACCTACACACATACACCTACACACATACACCTACACACACCTGTACACGCATACACCTACACACACCTACACACACACCTACACACACACCTACACACATGTACACACACACATACACACACGTACACACACACCTACACACACGTACACACCTACACATGTACACACCTACACACATGTACACACCTACACACATGTACACACATACACCTACACACATACCTACACACCTACACACACACACATCTACACCTACACACACACACCTACACATACACCTACACACACCTACACATACACCTACACATACACCTACACACACCTACACACACCTACACCTACACACACACCTACACACACACCTACACACACCTGTACACATACACCTACACACCTGTACACACATACACCTACACACACCTACACATACACCTACATACACCTGTACACACACCTACACACACACCTGTACACACCTACACACACACCTGTACACACCTGTACACACACACCTGTACACACACACCTGTACACACACACCTGTACACACAGACACACCTGTACACACACACCTGTACACACAGACACACCTACACACACCTGTACACACAGACACACACACCTACACACACCTGTACACACACACCTACACACACACCTGTGCACACACCTACACACACACACCTGTGCACACACACCTACACACACACACCTGTGCACACACACCTACACACACCTGTGCACACACACCTACACACACCTGTACACACACACCTACATACACACACCTGTGCACACACACCTACATACACACACACCTGTGCACACACACCTACATACACACACACCTACGCACACACTTGTGCACACATACACACACACCTGTGCACAGATGCACCTGTACACACACACACATGTACACAGCTGTGTACACACCCATATACACAAACACCGGCGTGCACACACCGCCATGCGCACGCACACCGCCATGTATACACACGTACACACGGATTGACCTGCTGTGCCAGGCTAGGTGCAGGAGAGGAGGTCGCTGCACACACACACACCACACACTCTACGTGTACACGTGTGTACACACACAGACACATACACACACCACACACTCTATACGGGTACACGTGTGTACACACACACACACTGTACGGGTACACGTGTGTTCACACAGACACACACACACACCACACACACACACACACACTCTGTACGGGTACACGTGTGTACACACACACCACACACACACACCACACACACACTCTATACGGGTACACGTGTGTGCACACAGACACACACACCACACACACACTCTATACGGGTACACGTGTGTTCACACACGCACACCACACACACTCTATACGGGTACACGTGTGTTCACACACGCACACACCACACACACACTCTATACGGGTACACGTGTGTTCACACAGACACACACACCACACACACACTCTATACGGGTACACGTGTGTACACACAGACACACACGCACACTCTATACGGGTACACGTGTGTTCACACATACGCACACACCACACGCACACTCTATACGGGTACACGTGTGTTCACACAGATACACCACACACACACTCTGTACGGGTACACGTGTGTTCACACATACACACACACCACACGCGCACACTCTATACGGGTACACGTGTGTTCACACAGACAGACACACCACACGCACACTCTATACGGGTACACGTGTGTTCACACAGACGCGAACACACCACACCTGAACACACACACCTGTCAACACCTGTACACACACACCTGTGCACACACTCCTGTACACACACCTGTACACACACACGTGCTGATACACGTGAACACACACCTGTACACGTGAACACACACCTGTACACGTGAACACACACACACCTGTACACACACACACCTGTACACACACACCTGTACACACACACACAAAGTGTACTTTGAACTACTACCTCTGTTGTTGATGCGGCCTGACGTGTACGGCGGTGTTTGTCGTTAATAATAAACACGGGGGTACACTCACGTGTACCCCATCCTCGTGTACACACGTCTCTCTCGTGTACTCTCTCGCGCGTACACACACATACACACCTGTACACACACACACACGTATTGGTACACACATACACACCTGTACACACGTATTGGTACACACACATACACACCTGTACACACACACACACGTATTGGTACACACATACACGCCTGTAAACACACACGTATTGGTACACACATACACGCCTGTAAACACACACACGTATTGGTACACACACATACACACCTGTACACACACGTATTGGTACACACACCTGTACACACGTATTGGTACACACACACACCTGTACACACACACACCGGTACACACACACACCGGTACACACACATACACGCCTGTGTACACACAGACACACGTATTGGTACACACACATACACGCCTGTGTACACACACACGTATTGGTACACACACACATACACGCCTGTGTACACACACGTATTGGTACACACACATACACACCTGTGTACACACACGTATTGGTACACACACATACACGCCTGTGTACACACACACACACGTATTGGTACACACACATACACGCCTGTAAACACACACACGTATTGGTATACACACCTGTACACACACGTATTGGTACACACACACATACACGCCTGTGTACACACAGACACACGTATTGGTACACACACATACACACCTGTGTACACACACACACGTATTGGTACACACACATACACACCTGTACACACACACGTATTGGTACACACACATACACACCTGTACACACACACGTATTGGTACATACACGCCTGTACACACACACGTATTGGTACACACACATACACACCTGTACACACACACGTATTGGTACACACACATACACACCTGTACACACACACACGTATTGGTACACACACATACACACCTGTAAACACACACGTATTGGTACACACACACACACCTGTGTACACGCGCACACACGTATTGGTACACACACATACACACCTGTACACACGTATTGGAACACACACCTGTACACACACACCTGTACACACACGTATTGGTACACACACATACACACCTGTACACACACGTATTGGTACACACACATACACGCCTGTGTACACACACACACGTATTGGTACACACACACACACGCCTGTGTACACACACACGTATTGGTACACACATTACACATACACGCCTGTACACACACACACGTATTGGTACACACACACATACACGCCTGTGTACACACACACACACGTATTGGTACACACACATACACACCTGTACACACACACGTATTGGTACACACACATACACACCTGTGTACACACACGTATTGGTACACACACACATACACACCTGTGTACACACACGTATTGGTACACACACATACACGCCTGTATACACACACGTATTGGTACACACACACACACGTGTTGGTACACACACACATACACGCCTGTGTACACACACACACGTATTGGTACACACACACATACACGCCTGTGTACAGACACACGTATTGGTACATACAGATACATCAACAACAACCGCCATTCGCCACTAAGTGGCGGTGACGTCACCACGACGCTTGTGCCAGGCTATGTGCACATTGAGGCCACGTGAAGTGTCGAACGCCTGCTGGCAGGAGGTCACGGGGCAGACCCAGCAGGTGCCACGGGTCGACTGACTGAGATGACTGAGATGACTGGCTGATACACCACCTGTGCCCCCTACTGTGCCAACCTGCTGTGCTTTAACCACCCGGCGCTCCGCTCGTTGTTGTGAGCGTCGCTCCTCCGCCCTCCGTTGTTGTTGGAGGGCGACTGCCTCCAACTGCCCAGTAGCGTCCTTCACGAGCCTCCTCCACAGAGGCCGATCTTGACACCGCTGGTACCAGTCATCGGCAAGTCCACTCAGCTCCACGTCCTCCTGTACCACATCACTCCATCTCTTCTCTAGCCCGTGCCGCGCCCGTTTAGCCCCCTCGATCCGGCCGAACAAAAGCTGTTTCGGCATGCGGTGGCTGGGCATGCGGGCTACATGACCCAGCCAACGCAGCCTTGCCTGCCGGAGGAGCTCACCGATGGGACCTTGCCCAGATCTTTCAAGGGTATGTGAGCTCCTCACACAATCCAGTCTGGTTAAACACAGGATGGATCGTAGGCAGACCAGCCTAAATGTTTCCAACCGGCGAAGATGTTCCATTAGGGGGGTCCACGTTTCGCAAGCGTAGAGAAGGGAGGGAATGACCGTGGCCGAGAAGACCTGAAGCTTAGTGCGGAGCGACAGACCAGGTAGCTTCCACACAGCGTTACGCAACCGATGAAAAGATAATGCCGCTCGACTGATTCGGAGTGAGACATCTGCTGTCAAACCGGAGCCGGTCATGAGCACACTGCCCAGGTATGGGAAATTCTCCACTTTCTCCACAACTACCCCATCACCGATTGGGAGTTGTGGGGGTGGAGTGTCTGATGGTACAAAATACCCAGGCAGGAGCTTGGTTTTGGTGGGGCTGATGGTAAGGCCCCACCTCTTAGTGGCACGCTCCAGTCTCAGCAGCAGCAGCGCCTCCAAATCCTCCCCTGAGTGAGCAGCAATTACCAGATCATCGGCATACATAACGTGGTTGAGCA